ATTCCTCCCACTGACGCCAATGATGGGGCACTATTCCTTCCACTGACACCCCAATGATGGGGCACTATTCCTCCCACTGATACCAATGATGGGGCACTATTCCTCCCACTGACACCAATGATGGGGCACTATTCCTCCCACTGATACTAATGATGGGGCACTATTCCTCCCACTGATACCAATGATGGGGCACTATTCCTCCCACTGATGCCAATGATGGGGCACTATTCCTCCCACTGACACCAATGATGGGGCACTATTCCTCCCACTGACACCAATGATGGGGCACTATTCCTCCCACTGACACCAATGATGGGGCACTATTCCTCCCACTGACACCAATGATGGGGCACTATTCCTCCCACTGACACCAATGATGGGGCACTATTCCTCCCACTGATACCAATGATGGGGCACTATTCCTCCCACTGACACCAATGATGGGGCACTATTCCTCCCACTGACACCAATGATGGGGCACTATTCCTCCCACTGACACCAATGATGGGGCACTATTCCTCCCACTGACACCAATGATGGGGCACTATTCCTCCCACTGACACCAATGATTGGGCACTATTCCTCCCACTCATACCAATGATGGGGCACTATTCCTCCCACTGACACCAATGATGGGGCACTATTCCCCCAACTGACACCAATGATGGGGCACTATTCCTCCCACTGACGCCAATGATGGGGCACTATTCCTCCCACTGACGCCAATGATGGGGCACTATTCCCCCCACTGACGCCAATGATGGGGCACTATTCCCCCCACTGACGCCAATGATGGGACACTATTTCCCCCACTGACGCCAATGATGGGGCACTATTTCCCCCACTGATACCAATGATGGGGCACTATTCCTCCCACTGACGCCAATGATGGAACACTATTCCCCCCACTGACGCCAATGATGGGACACTATTCCCCCCACTGACGCCAATGATGGGGCACTATTTCTCCCACTGATACCAATGATGGGGCACTATTTCTCCCACTGATACCAATGATGGGGCACTATTCCTCCCACTGATACCAATGATGGAACACTATTCCTCCCACTGACACCAATGATGGGGCACTATTCCTCCCACTGCAAAATTACAGTTATGAAGTAGCAACGAAAATAATTTTATGGTTGGGGGTCACCACAACATGAGGAACTGTATTAAGGGGTCGCGGCATTAGAAAGGTTGAGAACCACTGCTCTAGAAGGTGGAAATCACTATAGTAGACTCCCAATACTTCAGTGATCTCCACTAGATTCTGGGTATAGTGGGCACTGGAGGAGCAGAGCCGAGATCAGTGACTGGCAGTCAATGCTGTCTGCTCAGAATGGAAATAGAACTGAGTGATCAATGGTCATGTGATTGCTCAGTTCTTAGGCTTAGAGCCAGAGGGGGAAAGTGAGTTTGTATGTTTATTATTTGTCCTTTAATTTTTTTCTTTACTGGGATACCTTCGTTTCAAGTTTTTATGCTAGGGCATAATTGCATTGAAGTCTTTCTAAACCCAGGACCCTGATTTCACTATATCTGGTTTGCCACAGTACACAGAACATGGAAATGCAATTATTTTAGTAAATATAAACTGATAAATACCTTTTATAATCAGCAGTATATATCAGTCTTGTGACTTCTATCAGTGTCCAGCAGAGCATTCGTTAAGTTTGTAGGAGGAGTTTTCATTCTCTCCTGATTGTCATAGGAGGCTGCATAACCCCTGACCATCTGTCTGGACAGCTCTAATTGCCTCTGTGCTGATCACATTCACCCTCCCAAGTAAAAAAAAAAAACCTCTCTAGCAATACACACAAAACTGAGCATGTGCAGCCTGTCCCCAAGGCTCTTTTCTATCAGCAGATGGATTGGGGACAGTAGAAGAAGGGGAGGATCAGAGAAGACAGGATCAAACATCCTTTTTACACAATGCATAGAATTAACCCCTTAGGCTCCACAGTGAGTATAACAAGCATGCTGTACTGCATATACAGACTGATTTTTACTGTTGTGGGTTTAGTAACACTTTAAGACAGCAAAGTTAGCAAAAGATGATTTCAGTCTGGGTGCTATAAGTTACCGTGCTTTACGTATTGCCTTTTTTTAATGAATGTGTTCTCTTGTGTTATTGATCACTTTCATCATTCACAGCCTTTTCCGTAGTTTCCTTCTTGACCCTTCTGCTCATGCGACTGTAGCCTCCTGTACTCAATGAAGGGTACACATCAGGCTGATTTATGAGAGATCCATTGTGTAGCTAAAACGCCACGTGAAATGAGAAAGCATAAGCAGTGACAGCTAAGTATATTCTTCAGTGGCATTATTAGCGCCAAGGTGACTTGTTCATAGACCCGGTGAATCTTCGGTTATTATAACGGGAAGGAGATGGATGCTCCTCGCCGGCGATGACAAGACATCCTGTCCAAAACACCCTCATTTTCAAAAAGAAGCAGCATCTGCTTTTGAAAGTATAAATACACAAATTGATCTCATGCATGTGACGGAACGGCTGATAAATCCCGTATTTCCATTATAGGCCATAATGTATGTGTTGTGAAGTTATCTCACAAATGGCAAGTTTAATAGTCTCCAGTATTTCATTTCATCCGAAAGCCGGTTAGATTGCCGTATTACACCTTTCAAGTGTAGCCAGCCATGAGCGCATCTTTGTTAATAATGCTTGCCTGAGCTGACGTCGAATTTTATTACTGACAAAAGTTAGATCTGCTACACTTGCAGGATAAAAAGGACCCTTCCATTATGTTTTATTAGCATTGCTTTCTGAAAACTTTCTGATTGCTATTTCTATTCATGAGACACTGCTACAGTCCAGGAAGTGCAGCCCTATAGAGAAAAGGTCATGAGTGGACTTGCAAGACTAACACTTTTAACTTTTTGCTGTCACTGCCGGCCCCTTAAGAGGTTCTTATTACCAGGAGGCAAAGACTGCCTTCCCTTTCATGTGTCCGCTATGATTGGCTGTCATAGTCGTCACATGATCCACAGTTTCTGATAACCAGGAGTTGTAGGTGACAACTTGGCTATTGTGCTGGGAGCAGGAGCGGACTGATAACTCATGGGGCCCCCAAGGCAATAGGGGATCATGGGGCCCCTGTGTCCTTGCCAAACTCAAAAAAGCCTATGAAAAAGGTATCAGGGGCATCTCATGGGGCCCCCTACTGACCCCGGGCCCTTGGGCAGTGCCCGAGTTTCCAAATGGTCAGTCCGCCCCTGGCTGGGAGCACGCAATGAGCATGCTCTGACTAGGGGCGGACTGACCATTTGGAAACTCGGGCACTGCCCGAGGGCCCGGGGTCAGTAGGGGGCCCCATGTGATGCCCCTGGTACCTTTTTCATAGGCTTTTCTGAGTGTGGGCAAGGACACGGGCCCCATTATTCCCTATTGCCCGGAGGCCCCATGAGTTGTCAGTCCGCCCCTGGCTCTGACCACAGACTGATGGTTTCCCATGGATGCATATGTGTGTGTTAGTGGCCACCTATCCTGCCACAGCATATTTGTGTATGGCCAGCAAGAACAGCTTAAAGTGGTTATAAACCCTGACATATACTCAGTGAAGTACAAACACCTAGTACATTATCCACAGAACTTTATTAAAAGGTAAAAAATAATATATCCTCATTGGCCACTTTATTAGGTACACCTGTTCAATTGCTTGGTAACACACATTGCTAATCAGCCAATCACATGGCAGCAGCTCAATGCATTTCGGCATCTAGACATGGTGAAGATGACATGCTGAAGTTCAAACTGAGCATCAGCATGGGGAAGAAAGGGGATTGAAGTGACTTTGTATTTCAATAGTTTTTATTAACTTTTAAACATAGAAAAGACATAGGCATAAGGAACGCCCACACAGGAGCTAGCAATGGCACATATGGTGAGAACATCAAAATAAACTCAGACAGTAGACAATAAATAAATAACAAGGGGCAGGTGTAAACTGACCCCACAGAAACCAGATACAAACAGGGAAGAAAAGAGGAGGGGAAGAAGAAAAAAAAAAGTGGGGGGGGTTGAGGAGGGGGCAGAAGGAACATTTAGAATAGAGAAGGAGATTAATAGAGAAGGAGAAAAAGGGTGCCTAGTCGCCTGAACAAGAAAGAGAGGCAGAAATAGATTTAAGTGACTTGTGACATGGTTGTTGGGGCCAGACGGGCTGGTTTGAGCATTTAAAAAACTGCTGATCTACTGGGATTTTCATGCACACCTATCTCTAGGGTTTACAGAGAATGGTCCGAAAAAGAGAAAATATCCAGTGAGCTGCAGTTGTGTGGACAAAAATGCCTTGTTGATGTCAGAGGTCAGAGGAGAATGGGCAGACTGGTTGCTGCGACATTCAGATGGTAAGGTCAGAATTTGGCATAAACAACATGAAAGCATGGATCCATCATGCCTTGTATCAATGGTCCAGGCTGGTGTGAGATTTTCTTGGGTGTAATGGTGTGGGGGAGATTTTCTTGGCACTAGCAAGGTGTACCTAATGTGACTGGTGAGTGTATACATACAAAGGGAATGCGAATAACAGCATTGTAAATAACCCAGGAACACAAAGGTCAGCCCATTGATGGAACTTCTCTGGTTCCAATGGATGTCCTAAAAAACAAGCTGATGCATTTCAGGGGACATGGTCCCTTCCTCAGAGCACGACTCTTGATATCCCCCAAAACGTGTCAGCTGGTTTTAGGACATACAATTGAACCAAAGGAGTTGGTGGCCTAACCTTTGGGTTCCTGGGTTTTTTACAATGCTGTTATTCACATTTTCATTCTGTGTATATATTAGTTTTTACCTTTTTAATAAAATGTTGTGATAATGCACTTGGCGTTTGTGCCTTTTTTAACATTTTTTGTACAGTTGCTAGATTCCTTCATCTACATCATCCAGTCTGGATTGCGGAGTGGCAATTTTTACCTGAAGAACTTTGTTCAGCTTCTCACCTAGCGTGAAGTTTTAGCGCTATGGTGTCCAGTTGTTACGTAGCCTCCCTGGCGGTATTCCTGAGTGTAGCTCGGGGTAAAGTTTCAGTACCACAAGCGGTAACCCCGAGCTACACTCGGGCTTACCATGTGGCGCTGCTCCGCGATGCCTCGATCACTTACCTTGTCCTGCGCTCCCGTGATGTCCCCTGCAGTGTCCCCAAGGGGCAATGTCCATCTGTCTTCTGGGTTCCGTCCCCTGCGACGTCGGGACGTACGGGGACGGAACAGCGGGACATTTGAAAATGACAAAAAGTGACATTCGCTAAATACACTAAAATCACATAGTAAAACATTACTGTATCAAACCATTTCACATACATTTTGTCCCGAGTGCTTTGTCCGTGCCCTGCCTGCATTTTTACTGTTCTTTCTGCCTTGAAACTGAGAAACATCCATGGCGTCCAAAAAGCGTCCTTTAGGTCAAAATCGGTTTTAGACCAGCTAGAGAACAGCGATAGTAAATCAGAACCACTTGCAGAATTGAGTGATAATGATTTGTGGGGAAATTTCAGTGTTTTTGGTTTGATTATATTATTGAATTAAATGTATTATTATATTATTTTTTATGATTATTTATTAAATTATAATTTATTTTGTGTTTCAAGTTTTATCATACCCGGGATGTTTACTAGACTCTTGTTCGGACAGATTTCAGTGAGTTATTCCTAAAAATTACAGGTCTACAATAAAAAAAACTACATATTTCCATGCAAAAAAATGTACCACTTTGAGCACAGAAATATGGACATAATCAGACCGCTAGGGAGGTTAATTATACTAAATACTCAGTGAAGTGACTGGCCTCAGGTAATACACAGATATGAAACAAATTCTTCTACATACGTTGTACCTGTTTATCTGTAGCTTTATCTCCTCTATATCTGCTCAAAGTTCAGAATTTATATAGCATACTGACCTTACAGAAAGCAGGGGCAGAGAGCTGAAGTTGCATTCTGCGAAGCTCTGTGAGAGCTGATTGGAGGGGAGGGATACACTCCCCTTCACACAGCTCACAGGAACAGAGCTGAGGCTGTCAATCACAGGCTTGAAGTTCCTCCATGTCACCTTTTTTTCTTGATATCAGGAAAACTTGTCTGAAGTTACTCATGCTGATAGCAGAGGAATGGGGCAGTAGACATACATGACACTTAGTGCTCTGGATTGAGACAAGTAGACACTATAGAGAATATGCTTTGTTCAAAAGTCATGTATGAGGTTTACAACCACTTTTATTGTAATTTTAAAGGCACAGACTCTTGTTAGGAGCTCTAAATTGCTACACCAGGAGAAGAAAATGCACACTGTGCTTGTGTGAACGAGGGAGAATGCTGGCTCCTGTGATGCTGGAGATGAGCACTCTATGAATATCATGTCCTAGCTACAGAATGCTAACAATAGGGGTTTTCAGCAAGACTTTACAGGTGCTGCAAATGGCCTACAGGTATGGCAATTACATTCAAGCAGGACTTAACTGTACCTGAACTCCACTAACTGTAAACGTTATTTCATTAAATTTTTTTATTCAAATTAAACTCACCCATCCATTCATGTCTCTGTGCTTTTTTTTTAGAAATTACTTTGACAACCTCCCCCTAGCATTTTAGATGTGGCCAACTTGAGTAAGGGCAGATGATTTGTGTAGCGATTATGTCCAGGAATCCATCTACCCTTAGCTCAGGCATTCAGGCAGGAGGGTGTGCTTGGCTGAGAAAGCCCCTACTCTCTTCCTTCAGATGAAGGGAAAAAAATGGCCATGAAGACTCTTGGGATGTATGATATCATTTTGGCCTAGGCCAGAATCCAGGAAACAACTGAATAAAAAAAAGTAAATATAATATACCAAGTATCACTAAATGGCGGACCGTGGTTCAGATGCGGACCTAGCCAATGTTTTTATCGGGACCCGATCATGCCTTTTTAATTTATCCAGTGGCTGGTTAGAATCAGGACAGTGCTAGCAGCCAATCACCTGCTAGTTATTATTATTATTATTATACAGGATTTATATAGCGCCAACAGTTTGCTCAGCGCTTTACGTTATAATGGGAGAGAGCACAGTAACAATACAATACACGAGGGGTTCAAGGGCCCTACTCCTTGGAGCTTACAATCTAGGAGGGAGGGGAGAGTGGTACAGGAGGAAATAGCTATGGGCGATGGAGTGGTAGGAAGAGCGGAGGAGATCGGCAATTAGGTGAGGGCGGGGTAGGCTTCTCTGAAGAGATGGGTTTTCAGGGTGCGCCTAAAGTTGATGAGGGTAGGTGACAGTCTGATTGGGGTAGTGAGTTCCAGAGGATGGGGGAAGCCCTGGAGAAGTCCTGGAGACGGGCATGGGAGGAGGAGACCAGGGAACTAGAGAGGAGGAGGTCTTGTGAGGAGCGGAGTGTGCGTGCTGGGTGGTACTTGAATATTAGGTCGGTGATGTAATTTGGGGAAGTATGATGGACAGCTTTGTACGTCAATGTTAGTAATTAGAATTTTATGCGTTGGGCAACCGGAAGCCAGTGGAGGGATTGGCAGAGAGAGAGTTAATACAAAAAGTTAACCCCCGCAGCTTCCATGCCCTTTTCAATGCTGTGCTGTGCTTCCCGCATCTGATCCAGAAATGTTATGACCGCTCTCTCACTCTGCTCAATGCTGTGCTGTTATTCCACACTCGCTCCAGAAATGTTTTGTCTCCTGCTGTCCACTCTGCTGTTATAACAGCAAGGGAGGATGGGGGTAAAGAATCTGCTCTGTTCAGTGATGCACTGTGCTTCCCAAACCTTCTCCACCCCCCACTCTTCGCTCTAAGGAAGAACACTATTGTGGGGGGGGGGTTGGGATGTGAGGGGGTAGGGCAGTGCTGTTGGGGAAGATGTAGGGGGCAATGCTGTGGGGAGGGAGATGTAAAGGGGGGGCAGTGTTGTGGGGGGATGTGAAGGGGGCACAGTTCTGCTGGGGGTTATGTGAAGGGGAAGAGGACAGTAGTGTGGGGGAGTGATTGTGAAGGGGGGGTAGCGGACAGTAGTGTAGAGCAGGGGTGATAATTTGAAGGAGGGTTGAGGACTGCTGAAAATATGGGGGTGTACTGTAAAGGGGTGGGTGGAGGTGATGGGCAGGGCGTCTGAGAACGCAATTGTGAAGGTGAAACTGATGGGAAGTTGGGGACAATGATGTATAGGGGGGGACGGAGGACACTGAAGTATAGGGATTGTGATATACAGTAGGAGAGGGCTGAAAAAAAATACAGTTCGGACCTCTGTTGGAAGAAAATTTTACTGGTCGGACTTCCATGAGTTTTAATTCAGTACCCCTGTAATATACTGTCCTATCTATGTACTAATGATAGTAGCATAAGGTTTAAAATAATTAATGTTGATAAACCTCTTCCCACCGACCATACGTATACATGCGTACCTCTCTTTGTGTTGGGAGCGTGCTTCCAGCACAAAGACTGGGCTCTCACTGAGAGCCTCAGGTCTTGTACAAACGATAAGGACCCAGGTCTGCTGGGTTCTGGGTCACCTGATCGCTGTGATAGCCTCTGATTGGCTATCACAGTGATCAGTCACTGTGCAGCCCGCTCATGTGTTTACCTCCTCTTCTGAATAAAGAGAAGGATACATTGTATCTTTCTCTCCTTGCAGGAGAGAAAGATGAAAACAAACAAAAGTGTGTAAAAAAACATTATAACAGCAATAATAATAATAAAAAATAGCTAGATCAAGGTTTGATCTAGGTCAGTGCCATAGTTAGTGTTTGAGTGAAGGCAAGGGTGAAAAGTCAGGGTCAGTATATTTTGGTTATGATTAAAAAAAAAAAAAATTAAATCAGTGTATTTCAGGAGGTAGGCTAAAATAAAATAATCACCATTGATTCTCAGCCCTACTACAGGTACAAATAATAACTAATATAAACATGTAGTATCGATGTGATGGTCAGGAGCAGGAGAATTCTATTTTGGGTTGTTCTTTGTTGCTAAATTATTGTAATAACAAATAATATACAGCTACATTTAAAAAAAAAATTTATACTAACTTGGGCCAGTTTTATTTTGATAATAAAAAAAGCAGGCGATCTAATACCATTTCCTACCAAAAAAAAGCCCAATTTGTCCTGAAAAAAAACAATATATAACCCACCTGGATACACAAAGTACAGCAATGATACATATGTCAAAGTTGCAAAATTGTGTTCATACGTTAATATTTGTTTCACATCCAGTCAAGGGGTTAAGAGAGTTTCAACCCGCTTTAAGCAACAAATATAATAAAAAATGTTTTATAAATAATAACTGTAGAGTACAAAATCTGGTGCAGCTGTGCATGATAGCCAATCAACTTCTAACTTCAAGTGATTCTAAAGGTTCATTTTTGTTTTTTGGAAAATAACAAACTTATCATAATTATCAACTCTGTACAGTGATTTTGCACAGAGCAGCCTGGATTCTCTTTTTCTCATGTCCCTTGCCGGCGCTCCTGGCTCCTCCTTTATGTCGGGTGCCCCCACAGCAAGCAGCTTGCTATGGGGGCACCCGAGCAGGTGTGTTACCAAGCCACTGCTCCGTGTGTCTGTGGATTTTCTCATTGGCTGACTGGCTGTGATTGACAGCAACGGGAGCCAATGGCTTCCGCTTGCTGTCTCAGTCAATGAGGAGGCAGAGACCCGGGACAACTGAGGCTGTTGTGCACATCGATGGATCGTGATGGGGCTCAGGTATTAGGGGGTGCTGGGGGCACTGCTGCACACAGAAGGTTATTTTACCTTCATGCATAGAATGCATGAAGGTAAAAAACCTTGGGCCTTTACAACCACTTTATGCTTGTTCAATTAAGCTTTCACAATAAACCCTGGAATCAGATTGGTTGTCTATGCAGAGCTGCACCAGATTTTGCAATCTCTGGGTTTGGTAAATCAACCCCACAGCATATATATATATATATATATATATATATATATATATATATATATATATATATATATATACACACACACAGAGAGAGAGAGTGAAAAAGAGAAAGGGAGATCATTTTTATTATATTATCAACCAAGTAAAACATGTCAATCTGATGAGTGCATAAGGAAAAGAAAAGACAGGAAAACAAAATAAAGAATAATATCTAGGAGAGCAGATGGCCCTTTGAGATAAAATAAATCAAGATAAGAATATATCCTTTCCTATAGCTCTCACATCTTCAACTTTCCAAGTATGTGATAAATGTCACAGGCAATTTATGATTTTGGTTTATACTGCTTTTGGGAAAGATATTAAAAGAAAAGGGCAGCAAATTAATTACTCTGGTCAGAGCCTACAATGCTAAATGTAGCAATGTGACAT